AAGGAGTACTTGTGGCACCTTAGAGACTAACCAATTTATTTGAGCATAAGCTTTCGTGAGCTACAGCTCACTTCATCGGATGCATTCAGTGGAAAATATAGTGGGGAGATTTTATATACACAGAGAACATGAAACAATGGGTGTTACCATACACACTGTAACAAGAGTGATCAAGAAAGGTGAGCTATTACCAGCGGGGCAGAGGGGGAGAGAGAACCTTTTGTAGTGATAATCAAGGTGGGCCATTTCCATCATACACATTGTAAGGAGAGTGATCACTTTAGATAAGCTATTACCAGCAGGAGAGTGGGGGGTGGGGGGAGAGAAAACCTTTTGTAGTGATAAACACCCATTTTTTCATGGTCTGTGTGTATAACAACATCTTCTGTATTTTCCACAGCATGCATCCGATGAAGTGAGTTGTAGCTCACGAAAGCTTATGCTCAAATAAATTGGTTAGTCTCTAAGGTGCCACAAGTACTCTTTTTCTTTTTACACAAAGTAAAACTATTTCCCCTCGTTTATTTCCCCTCCTACTGTTCTTGTAAAGTGCTGGGAATGACCCACCTTGATTATCACTACAAAAGGTTCTCTCTCCCCCCACCCCCACCGGTAATAGCTCACCTTTCTTGATCACTCTTGTTACAGTCTGTATGGTAACACCCATTGTTTCATGTTCTCTGTGTATATAAAATCTCCCTACTATATTTTCCACTGTATGCATCCAATGAAGTGAGCTGTAGCTCACGAAAGCTTATGCTCAAATAAATTGGTTTCAGAGTAACAGCCGTGTTAGTCTGTATTTGCAAAAAGAAAAGGAGTACTTGTGGCACCTTAGAGACTAACCAATTTATTTGAGCATAAGCTTTCGTGAGCTACAGCTCACTTCATCGGATGCATACTGTGGATAGTCTCTGTCAAGGTTCCTCCCCCACTTTGAACTCTAGGGTACAGATGTGGGGACCTGCATGAAAACCTCCTAAGCTTACTTTTACCAGCTTAGGTTAAAACTTCCCCAAGGTACAAATTAATTTTATCCTTTGCCCTTGGAATTTCCACTGCCACCACCAAACTTTAACTGGGTTTACTGGGAAACGTAGTTTGGACACATCTTTCCCCCCAAAATCCTCCCAACCCTTGCACCCCACTTCCTGGGGAAGGTTTGGTAAAAATCCTCACCAATTTGCATAGGTGACCACAGACCCAAACCCTTGGATCTTAGGGCAATGAAAAAGCATTCAGTTCTCTTACAAGAAGACTTTTAATAGAAGTAAAGGAATCACCTCTGTAAAATCAGGATGGTAGATACCTTACAGGGTATCTTACAGGGTAATTAGATTCAAAACATAGAGAAACCCTCTAGGCAAAACCTTAAGTTACAAAAAAGACACACAGACAGGAATAGTCATTCTATTCAGCACGGTTCTTTTCTCAGTCATTTAAAGAAATCATAATCTAACACGTACCTAGCTAGATTGCTTACTAAAAGTTCTAAGACTCCATTCCTGTTCTGTCCCTGCCAAAAGCAGCAGACAGACAGACACAGACCCTTTGTTTCGCTCCCTCCTCCCAGCTTTTGAAAGTATCTTGTCTCCTCATTGGTCATTTTGGTCAGGTGCCAGAGAGGTTACCTTTAGCTTCTTGACAGGTTTCAGAGTAACAGCCGTGTTAGTCTGTATTCACAACAAGAAAAGGAGTACTTGTGGCACCTTAGAGACTAACCAATTTATTTGAGCATAAGCTTTCGTGAGCTACAGCTCACTTCATCACGAAAGCTTATGCTCAAATAAATTGGTTAGTCTCTAAGGTGCCACAAGTACTCCTTTTCCTTTAGCTTCTTAACCCTTTACAGGTGAGAGGATTTTTCCTCTGGCCAGGAGGGATTTTAAAGGGGTTTACCCTTCCCTTTATATTTATGACAGTCTCTAAGGTGCCACAAGTACTCCTTTTCTTTTTGCGAATACAGACTAACACGGCTGTTACTCTGAAACCTGTCATAGCCTTCTCAGACACCTTTGGGACAATGGCAATAAAGGGATCTGACAATGACCGTTTCCTGGGGATAACTGAACATCATACACATTGGGGGCTGGTATATTGCCTACTGTTGCTCCCCCTGATGCAGACCCACTGGGAACATGGAATGCACCACTCCCCGGGCTGAAGTGAAACAGTGGCCTGGCTCAGTGTGAGTGGGGGCATGTTTATAAGTGCTTACAACCTTAAAGCAGGCAAACTTTCCAAGAACTGAATTCAGTGTGTGATCATTCTAAGAAACTGACATGAGCCCTGACATACAACCTCATAAAATCAATCTGGCTTCATTTAATCATCATAAAACCAGTCTGGCTCTTGTCACTCTTGAGAGACACAGGACTAGCTCCAGCTGCTGCCTTAGCAACATGACCTATCTTTTGGAAGGGATGCTCTTTCAGAAAATCAAGACAGCTTATTTATTTTAGGGATCTGTGGTGTATGTGTGTGTTTTCTTCTCTTTCAGTGGCTCTTAGTTTTCCCAGATCATCAGGCAGGCAGTGGACCACACCAGTGAAATAGCTAATAGAGACATATTCTGTTTAGTGGTAATACAATTAAAACTCGTGGCAGGTGGTAATAATAGCAAGCACTTATTTTCAAAGTGCTTTACAGTGAGCTAATTAAACCTTGCAACACCTCTATGAGGGGCATTAGTACTCCCCCTTTACAAATGAGGGAACTGAGGGAGAGATGGAGATGTAGAATCACCTTACTGGACCCAATCCTGCAACTTTACATCTGTGGGACTGATTCACTGGAGTGAACAACAATATTAATTACAAGCACACGTCCAATGAGACAATTACCCATTGTAAAACACTACAGGTATCACCAAGGTATATTCATTTCAGTGTTAGTAGGGGCTTCAGGATCAAAGACTCTAGAACATTAGGGTATTTTTAGGGTTCCTATCATCAGCTGTATGAATGTTAGTACATTTTTAGACGCCAGTCCTGCACAGAACTCCTCACAGGTGCAGACAATGACATGCCCAGGGCTCGAGCAGGATCACTGCCCAAGCTGTAACTTGAAACATCTGAACTTATTTCATCACTGCAGATAGTTAAAGTGACACAGTCAAGTTTAACATGTATTATGTTCCAAATCACACCTTTCAGATTATTATTAAACTTGAAAACTTTAAATCCCTTTTCACTGTTCATTGTTTATTTTTTGCTCTCAGCTAGGACACGGAAAATAGATTAGTCATTTTCCCTGTTTTTTCACTTTCTAGTCAACTTAACTGACTGCATAATCAGATCCTAGATTTTCGTACAGTACCATCATACCTCAGTGTTTGGGCTGCAAACACAGAGTTTGATCCGGCATTCCTTGTACACTCAAAAGTTCTCAGATTAATGGGAGTTTTGGGTGCAAAAGGAATTTAGCATCAGATACATTCTTTGTGCCAGTAGACAGTCTGTTTGCCTTTCCCTTACTAGCATGCACCTTACAAAGAACCTGATCCAACTCCTATTAGAAAATCATCAGGAAAAAATCCCATTGATTTACTCATAATACATCTAAGGGCTGATGTATTCAAGTTAGCCAGAACTTTCAGACGATTATTAAACTTGAAAACTTTAAATCTCTTTTCACTATTCATTGTCTGCCTGAAAAGAAGAATCTGTCATTCCTCACAAAAAATCATTCCGCACACCCTCACTTGCAATCCTAAATCATATTGTGTCCTAGTCTATATTATGCCCAGTTCCAGTATAGGAAAAAATGGGCAAGAACTTTTGAAAGTCACAGTTCAAAAAAACTTATTCTCTTTGTCTCCCCAGCAGCACTCTGCTGACCTCAGCCCCAGGTTGATCTCTAATGCTGTCTTTCTTTCCCAGTCTACAATGAAGTTTTGCTCTCAATAAAGCCAGTAAAAATACAGCATAACTCTGCTTGACTTCACCAGAGCTAACCCAGTGTAGCAAAATTTGGCTCCTAATTCTGAATCAAGCAAATGCAAAAATACTGCCCTTGATTCTGCTCTCAGACTGGTTTAACCCTTGGATAACTTCGTTGGCTGGGATGGCATCACCCCTGATTTACACCAGAGTAACGGAGAGGAGAATCAGACAGACCCAGTTTCCCTTTTCTCTACTCCCTCACCGCTCTGACGGCCTCAGATACAATATCCTGCAGGACAGAGAGAAGTACCTCTCTGGCCAGGCAGTGCTGACCCCAATGTAAACCCAACATGTGAAGGGCAAAGAACTCGCACGTGGCACCTTCCCCTGAGTTCACCTTCCTGACCCCTAGGCTAAGGGAAACCCCAGAATATATTACAATTTACATTTCACCAAAAATGCGCTGGTTTATTTCGTGTTCCGATCTGCTCAAGTTATTAGTTAAGACCCCGATCGTGCAAACAATGTAATAACCTTGCACACACGAGTAGCGCCCTGGGCTCAGTGTATGTAAAGTTGCTAAGCTCTTTCCGTCTGGCAGGGAAACTACTTCCTAGGGCCTCAAGCCCCACGGATCGCCTGCCTGCCTGCTCCGGGGAGAGATCCCAAGGAACTCCAAATCCGCCAAGCTCCACTCGCTTCATACCAGGACCTGGCCGCGCAGCCTGGTGCCCGCATGTGTCGGAGCAGGCAGGATTGCTCCGGTGTTTGCGGCTCCTTTCATCGCTATTCTGCGTTGCCGACGTTTGAGCCGGGGAAGGCCGGAGACCGAGGGCCACCTGAGCTCAGGGTCCGGAGTGATGGACGCTTGACGCAGGGAGGTGGGAGAAATCCCTCCAGATCCGCTGCTACGCCAGGGCAGCCAGGCAGGTCCCTGCCGCGAGACAGGGGCTTTCTCTGCGGGCGGGGTGCCCAGGGGGCCGGGGCTCTGCGCCTTCTCCTGGCCGGGGGCCGGGGCTCCCTTCCTGCGCTGAGGAGTTTCTCCGCCTGCTTCCATGGTGCATCTTGGCAGCAGAGGGCACCCGCTAAGATATAAAGCAGCCAGCGCCTAGGACTCTCCGAGACAGCTCCAGCCACCGCTTCCAGCCGCCGCCGGGCAGCCCTGCGAGCTCCGGGCTGAGTCTCCTGCTATCTCAGCCGGGTGCTAGGCAAAAGCGCGCAGGGCGCAGCCGGGCAGCCCCTTCTTCCCTTGGGCACAGAGGAGAAGTGCGCAGAGGTTTTGGACACCCACCTCCCCGTTCCCGGGGGTTGGGAGCAGAAGGAAGGGCTCAGCTATCTCGGCCCTGCAGGCGATAGCGGAGAGGAGCGCAAGGTGCAGAGGTCCAGTCCCCCGACCAGGAGCTGGAGGAGACGCGTGGCCGGGAGAACCTTTCGGGGGCGTAGGGCAGAAAAGGGCCTGGCGAAGCGCGCCGTCTGCCAAGGGAGAAGGGCGCAGCGGTGTCAGATGCCCAGCGCTGGGCAGAAGGGCGCAGGCTGCAGCAGTACCAGACTGCCTTGTAGGCTAGAGGGGGCAGGGTGGCGGGCTGCAGTCTTCCTTGGCGCAGCGACGAAGGGCGCAGCTGTAGCAGACCCCCGCGCAAGGGAGGAGGGCGCAGGGCGCTAAGGGAAGAAGGCGCAGCTGTAGCAGACCCCCGCGCAAGAGAGGAGGGCGCAGGGCGCTAAAGGAAGAAGGCGAAAGCTGTAGCAGACCCTCGCGCAAGAGAGGAGGGCGCAGGGGGGAGCAGGCAGCGCCACGGTCATGAGGCTGGTCCTGGCGGAGCGGAGCTTCAACCGCACTAACCACAGCTGGGCTGGGGGTTCCGGCAACCTGAGCTGGAAGGAGGGGCCGCTGCGGGCCTGGGCGGCTGGGGGCCTGGGGCGCACGGGGCACAGCGCGGTGGCCGTGTCTCTGGGCATCATCCTGGTGTGGGGCTGCCTGAACCACCTGCTGGTCCTGCTGATCTTCCTGAAGTTCGAGTCCTTCCGGACCCCCATTCCCCTGATCCTGCTGAACATCAGCCTCAGCGAGCTGCTGGTCTGCATCTTCGGGACCCCCTTCCGCCTGGCCGCCAGCGTGCGGGGCCGCCGGCTCCTCGCCTGTGCCGGCTGCAAGTGGTACGGCTTCGCCAACGCCCTCTTCGGTAGGTGCGGCTGCCCAGCTCCCGCTGGCACCTAGGGGAGGAAACAGCCCCGCCGCAGCCCCCAGGGGCAAGGGGCGCCGCACGGCAGTTCCCGGGGCCGAGTCGCGCTTCCTCTTCTAGGGCGCTGGCCGCGTAGTGCTGACGGGGACAGAGGCCCCGGGTTCCTTGGGGTAAGGATCCCCACCGTGCATGCAGCCACCTCCCGAGTGGAAGCAGAAAGATACAGACTGGCAGGGAAAGCGGTGCGTGCTTCCACCCACGGGAAAACCTGGCCCCAAAGACCTGTTAGGACAAGACAGTTCGGCCCTCCTGCTGGTTTATTCTGTCTTCTAGGCCAAGATTTTCAAACAGGAGTCTCTACATTTGGGCTCCTACATCCATAACTAGGCACCTATATAAAAGCTGGGGCTGATCGTTCAGAGATGCCCAGCATGCACAACTCCTGTGAATTTCAGGACAGTCTGTGGTGCTCAGCACCTCTGGAAATCAAGCCTCTTTCACATATGGGTATAGGGGACTAACTGTAGGCACCAAAGGCTCTAGTCTTTGGTGGAGTGTCTGATTAATAACAGAGAACAAACTGCCTTGGTTGCCTGTGGTTTGGGGATGGAGAAGGTGAAGTCAAAGGCAGGTGTTGCTGCGTGTGCCCTGTGTGTTGGTTTCCAAAGGAGAGTCTGGTTGCTATGGATTTTAGTAAGCCATCATTGTCTAAATGGTCCCTTTTAAATCCTTGCATGTTGGACCATCGTTCTGTGCACTTCTCCACAAAGGGAGCATTGTGTTCAGTGGCAGAGGTGTGAAACCCTACCTCCATCATCCTAACCCTCTCCCTGTTTCTTCTCATGTGTCATTTGTCCAGTAGAAACAATGAGGAGTCTGGTGACACCTTAAAGACTAACAGATTTATTTGGGCATAACCTTTTGTGGGTAAAAAACCCACTTCTTCAGGTTTTTTACCCACGAAAGCTTATGTCCAAATAAATCTGTTAGTCTTTAAGGTGCCACCGGACTCCTCGTTGTTTGTGTGGATGCAGACTAACACGGCTATCCTTCTGATATTTGCCCAGTAGAGTTCCTTATGGGATGAAACTGCATATGCCTGGTCTTGCTCAAAGATGAGTTGTTTCTGGGAACTCTGAAGACCTGCGTCTTTTGAACTTAAAACAAGCAGGAAGAATGCTCTTTGCTTTAACAAAAAATTCTACCATGTATCCCCCCCTTATCCTGGCAACGCTTTGCTAGACACATCATCTATAGACGTTCTAGTTTTAGGTGACCATGGAGTTTTAGGGCCGCCTTGACTAAATGTGTACAACCGGAGCCTATTCAGCCTGTCAGTTGATGTCAGTATGGATTATGGGCACAACTGAAGGGCTAAGCAGGCACCAGATTCTCCTGTCTGTAATTTACTGTTATCACTGGCTCACAGGCCAATCACACTTATTATTATTGATATTTATTTGTATTGCGTAAGTGCGTACAGGGGAGACCAGCACATAGCTCTCACTCTCCTGTGCACCCCAGCCCCCCTTCCTCCAGGCAATCACACATTTACCCTTCTCGCTTCACCCAGACTCAAACACCTTTGACCTAATTCCCTGGTACTTCACATTCACTCCAGCTGCTGGAACAGTGCTTCTCTGACACCTACCAAATATCAAAATCCTCTGTGAAACTGAATTGCGTTTCTCCACTGAGCTCTATTACTGAGGTCTGCATTTAAAGTGGCAGCATTTGCTAACAGCTACACCTAGTGGTAACAAAACTAGCAGGGTTTCCCCCTTTACTTAGGGTTTGTTTACATGGGGAGATAGACCAGAATGGCTGTTTTGTGGTAGCTTCCCAGGGGGATACTATATTATGGAATAAATCACTTTATTTCAGAAAAATTAGCATGCTTCCAAAGCAAAGCAATTATTCTGGAATAAAATGACTATTGTGGAATAGAGTATCCACATGGGGAGCTATCTGCAATAGCTATTTGGGTCAATTTCCTCATATAGATAAAATATAATAACTGTGACCACTAATGTAGCTATGAATTATGCAGATATGGGATTTTATAGCTAAAACAAACACATGGGAACAATGCAGAGAACAAGCCTAGTGAGCATGGATGATGGTCTACAGCAGGGGTTCTCAAACTTCATTGCACCATGACCCCCTTCTGACAACAAAAATTACTACGGGACCCCAGGAGGGGGGACTGAAGCTTGGGCCTGTCCATGCCCCACCACCCTGGGTGTGGGCAGGGCAAAGCCAAAACCCCACTGCCCCAGGCTGGGGGGCCAAAGCCCAAGGGCTTCAGCTCCAGGCAGGGGGCCTGAAGCCTTAGCTCTGCCGCCCAGGGCTGAAGCCGTCGGGCTTGGGCTTTGGCTTTGACTCGGGCTCTGGACCCCAGCAAGTCTAAGCTAGTGACCCACTTTGGGGTCCCAACCCGCAGTTTGAGAACCGCTGGTCTATAGTCAGTGGGAGTTTCACACTGACCTTTGTGGAGGCAGGATCAACCCCTTGGTCTGTCAACAGAAATAAACAAGTGATCAGAAGAAAGTGGTGCTGCCAGGAGCAACTTGGGACCGATATGGTTATATCCAGATGTATTTTAATGCTGCCATCCTGATGGGTTTTTTTTTTTTTGCAGTTGCAGCAGGATATTTGTTTGAAATTAAAAATCTCACATTTATTGCAGGACCATTTCAAATGCCTGATCCTGCAGCTGTTCCCTTCAGTTAGAAGGGAGTACTCACGAGAGGAAGGGCATTAGGATCAGGCCCAAGGGGTTCAACTGGCTGCATGTTCAGAGACTTTGCACTTTCCATCTATCCCTACCCTGCGTGCTTGTTTCTCTCCCAGTGGGAGAATTCGGCAAAACCAAATGTGCCTATATTGAGCAGCAGCTCTGACGGACTCATGGGGTGAATCCTGCAGGGCCAGAGTCAGCAAGAGTTGACATGTGCCTGCAGTGGGAGTCATGACTGAGTAAGGACTGCAGGACTTGGTTCCATGGGAATAACCCCCTTCATCTTTCTGACTCACTAACACCATGCCCATCTCTTTCCTTGCAGGAATTGTCTCTCTGATTTCCCTTTCCATCCTCTCGTACGAACGCTATGTCACAGTGCTCAGGAGGTGCATGAAAGTGAACGTGTCCAGCTACCAGAAATCCTGTCTCTTTATTGCAGGCTCTTGGTTCTACTCCTTGTTTTGGACTTTGCCTCCTTTGTTTGGTTGGAGCAGCTACGGTCCCGAAGGCCCAGGCACCACCTGCTCAGTAGCATGGCACTCCAGGTCTCCTAACAATATCTCTTACATCATATGCCTCTTTATCTTCTGCCTTATATTGCCTCTTCTGACAATGATCTATTGTTACGGGAAAATAATGAGAGCAATCAAAACGGTAAGTGTCTTTTCTAGCTTCTCTAACATAGGGTGGTTGTAACTGCATTCTTCTTTTCTCTTTACTGAATGGGGATATTCTTAGAGTTCTTCCTGTTGCAGGACACTTGATATCCATGTCTGCCTATCAGGAATGAAACCTGCCATAAAGCAATATGTGGGGAGCTATGATCCTGCTCCCACTGAAGTCAATGGGTGTTTTGACACTGACTGATGCCAAATGCTGAACTTATTGTGGTAGTTGTGGGAGGCTCCATCAAGGAATGGCATGCCCCTTTATGTAAATAAATGTAATAGAAAGGTGATCCCTGCGCCAAAGAGCTCATGGTCTGAGTCAGTTTCAATCTACTTTAGTTGTGGTTTGCAGCTATTGGTCTAGATTCTCTATCTGCTCCTAGACTCAACACAGCTGTAAATCCAGCTTAACCGGCTGGGGATATCTCTGGAGCAGAGGTTGGAGAGCTAGCAATAAAGACTGTATAAAATGAAATAAATATCTACCAGATTATGGAAAGTGAGGATAATGACTATTATTATATAGTCCACACATTTCTTGCTGCAGTATCCAGGTGCTCCTGTGTTCTCTGGGCGGCTCTGGTACTTTGCTGTTCACAGGACCTAGTGCACTGCATTGCTGCACATCAAGCAGTGTTACTACGTGTGCAACAATCTACTATGACATGCTTTGGGCAATTCAAGGTTCTGGTCATAAGTAGCTGTAATTGGGTGAGCAGATGTGCAGTGTGGAAAGTAGGGATTTTATTTTCACAAAGCTTTGAATGACTGTGTTCACTAGTGCAAGCTATATGTACTAGGGGCTTTCCAAAGTTAGTGGAGAGACACGGTCCCTGCCTTGAAGAGTACACAGCAAAAAGTGATCAGGAGAAAGTGGTGCCTCCAGGAGCAGCTTGGGACCAATATTGTTAATCCAGCTGTATTTTACTGCATTTGACTCTTTTGTTTCCCCCATCTTTAAAATGGGAATTCAATGTTGCCAACTCTCATGATAAAACTGCAATCTTGCAATATTTGGTGGCTTGCTTAAAGCCTCAGCTCATGGAGTCATGTTATTACATGAGAATCTCAGCTTTCATTTTTTTAAAAGTAGGTTTCTACCGCTCATGGTTTCAGAGAATATCTTGAAAACTTGAACCATAATGGCTCAAAAACCAGAAGACAAATAAAAAGAATCCCAAATGTTATATTTTTAACAATCTCATGATTTTTGGGAAGCCTGATTTATAATTTTTGAAGGCTTGGGATTGGCAATACTGATCCTTGGTAAAGTTCTTTGAGATCTACAGATGAGAGCACTGTGTAAAAGCCAAGTGCTGTTACGTGTGTGCATAGTTAATATTTTGTTAGCGCTGTATGTGCACACAAGCACATATGTCAATAAGGGACTTTAATGTCTTTTTGTCTCTAAGAACTTACACAATACTTGGTCCTGCCACAGCATAGGGGGCTGGACGTGATGGCCTCTTGAGGTCTTTTCCAGCCCTATATTTCTATGATGTAATGGCTCCAAAAGAGCGTACTCAGTTATCTGCATCTTTAAAAAGTCAGTGAACTAAATTCTGCACTGATTTGAATAGAGTTGCATAGGGTGTAAGACAACACAGACCTGGGCCCCTAATCCTGGTGTATATTACATCATCTGTAATTAACAAGTCTGTCTAACATGGCAACTCCCAAACACTTTGACACAGCAATTTATTTAAACTTCTTTTAAGGAAGGAAATATACACACACAAATCTATGTTTAAGGCTATAACATAGGCCAACAAATGCCAGATGATATAGAGTTCAGGATGATAAACTATGTTTATCTCCTATGAAGCCTGATTTAAAACTCACTGAAGTCCATGGGAGAAGTTTCTTTTGGATCAGGCCCTAGTGTTGCTAGGTATTGTACTATGCATAACATCGTCGGTGCACAGATACCATTGTAACAGGAGTATTATAACTATTTGCCATGTAGTGTAGCACCTACATGCATAGACTGACAGCCGTAGCTCTGGATCTACATCCAGTTGCTGGTTTGACTGACAGTATTTACTTCCCTGGACCAACATTTTTTGTTTGCTAAAAAGAAGATCTGGGCAAGGGCTACAATCAGGGCTACACTGAAGAGCTCGGTATAAAACGTGTTGCCAGAGTGCTACAATAAGAAGAATGCATTTTTTAAAATCAGATGTGTCTGTCAACCTCTTATTTCAAAAGTGTCACTTGCATATGACACGCTGCCTCATGTAGCTCCTCCTGGCATTTAAACTAAAGCTGACTCTGTGAGGACATATCCTCAGTGCGGGACATGTGTCTGCATTGACTTCCAGGTGAATTGGACTAGGACCTAACACAGGACAGGTCAGATACACAGCAGTTTAGAAATGATGTTAGATAATCAGTCTATTCACAAATATATGTATTTTGGTTCCTCTGTTTTAGTCACGACCAAGAGCTGCTAGGCTGACTTTATTAATGCTTCAGGGATTTGTTATTACTAAATTTATCAAGGTGTTAAACTGGCTTGTGAGAAACACAAGAACTCTTCAGTAATATTGGAAAATGCACCCTAAAGGATTATGCAACCTGGACAAAGTGTCTCACTACATATATAGAATCCTGGTCTCTTTCTTGAAGACACTTACCTCTGGTGTCATTTTATGAATGAATCATGGAGGTATTTTTAGCACCTTGAATTGTGGTATTGCTTTGAGTTCTAGTGGCAGACAGTTATGTAAGAAATCATTCCCCCCGGCTTTTAAAATGTGCAAAGAACTAGAGACGTGATATGAACACCAGTAGTTCACACATTCCTAGCAGAACACTCAAAAAGAGAACACAAATTCACAGAAATCCTGTAGGCTAACCTGCCTTTTATTTTATGCATGTTTAATTCACTGAAGATGAAGTGTATATATAGGCTGATGTGGAGGAACAGCAGTGGGGTGGGAGACTCCACTGGGAAGTGCTGTCTAAAAATTGATGGTGTATGTGATGCTAAGGACAAAAAATGGGCTATAAGAATGCTTATTTGTGATATTTCTTTTTGTTTTTGAATGTGCTGGGCATAATAAACTATATTTTTGTTCATCTGTGTGATGAGGTCACCTATTTAACAGTTCTAAACTGTACTCTAGTAATGTTCATTAACTACTGTCATTGGACTGGCTCAGCCAATCACAACTCAGTTTTCTATAATTCACATGATGGCATCAGGGAGGCAGTGCAGTCTGTTTGAGTTCAGGAGGAGGCTCCAAGAGCTGCCAAGGCCTAATCCCAGCTCTGAAATGTACCTTGGTCAAATCTTAACCATTCTGTGTTCACCCATCTCTCGAGTGGGGATAATGGGGTATCAGAGTAACAGCCGTGTTAGTCTGTATTCGCAAAAAGAAAAGGAGTACTTGTGGCACTTTATTTGAGCATAAGCTTTCGTGAGCTACAGCTCACTTCATCGGATGCAATCATCATGTTGCCCATATGAGTAGGAATATTAGTGAAAGAATAGCTGTGCCATTGCATACATCAGGATAGTTACGTGACAAAACCATTGGCATGTGTCACATAATCCTTCATCTTCTATCAACTTGTTGAATTTAGGACGGAAATAACCCCCACTCCTGAGTTTCGTAAAACAGTACTTTATTTTTGCAGGTTTCTAGGTGTAATATGACAACAGTTCAGAAGAGGGAACGCCACATACTTTTTATGGTGGTATCCATGGTTACCTGCTACCTCCTCTGTTGGATGCCATATGGGATAGTATCTTTGATTGCAACATTTGGCAAGCCAGGAATAATCACTCCAACAGTAAGCATTATCCCATCCATTTTGGCAAAGACTAGAAAATTTGTTAATCCTGTTCTCTGTGTGCTCTTGAACAAAAAAGGTAAGAATTTCACTTTGTTTGTATTTACTCTGAAACACAATTGCTCCTTCATATTAGATTTGTGATCAGTAAGTGCTATTGTTACAATATATGTAACAATTTTGTATGGGGACCTGTCTGAAATGAGCTGGGGTGTCTCAGTCCCTTTCTAATGGACTGTTGGAACACCCAGTCTCACAACGAGTTTCAGTTAAAATGACAAAGGTTTAGCCGAGTTGGCATGTAGTCTGTCTTTTCATTCCTCTGGAGGTGATCATTAGGAAGTAGGGCACAGTAGTGGGGTCACTATGGGGTAGCTTGCACTGCCACTGCCCATTCTGTGCGTGCTCTATTTCATAAGACATAATTGAGCTCTTGACTTGTTCTGGAGTCCCTTTGTCCCCTATTTGTGACATCACCCTTCTCTGGTGATGCATGCAGCGCAGTTACGCATTAACAATCTGTAATTAATACACTTTGTCCTGCATCACACACAGCAAATGTATTTTCTTACTGAACTGCACTGTGGTGTTAAAAAAAATAGTTCTTGTCAATAAAAGTAACCCAACAGAAGTCTAATATGTCCTTGTGTTGCTGACTTGCTCTCCCACTACAGATGGGGAGTAGCTTTCTGGCCTCATTTTAAGTTTTTTTTGGAGAGGGTCCATAGAATGGTCCCTCCCATTTCCGCTTTGTCTATAGCTCCCTAATCCTGATTCACCGTTACCCCGCAAGTTAGAAGTTGTGAGTTGCAATGGAGGCGATAAACCACATTTCTGGTTTCCTGATCCTTTGGCTTCTCAGCAGTTGGCTACTTTTCAGGCACAAGCGAGAGCAGCCTGAAAGCTGGCTGAACATACATTGACTGCCAATGACCCCAAGAGGCCAGTATGCCATCTGGGGATTATAAGGACACGTGGGAAGACCCAGCCAGGGAAGGGGAATGTTGTAGGACCTGCTACAGTGGCTCCCTACTCAGTTCAAAGATAATCCCTTTGTTGGGGCAGACCTCTGGTGGTCATCTGAGCCACTTTCAGGGCAAGTAGTTTCTGGCAGATCAGTACAAACCTGCCTAAATGTACTACAGGATATGGTCCTACATTCATTCTGAATAGACTATGCACAAATTAAAGCAGGGCAAAGGGCTGCAGAGATAAGCACTGCACGGTGAATGCTGAGAGGTTGTCATTGCTTGCAGCATCATTCTCAGGCTCTTTCTTTGTCCAGACAAATCCTTCCCAGCAATGCCATGATCCTGAGGAGTGATGATGCATTGCATATAGCCTCCATCATGCTAAAAATTGGTGTTGCAAAGATATAAACAGAGCTGATTGTCTATGCAGCTGGATGGAGTGACTCAGATGAGCAGAAAAAGGAAAATGTTGCACAAACAGCAAGCAGAAGAAAGACTTAAAACACCGGAACTTAAAAGTGATAACACAGCACGCAACTGAGTGGGGGAATGATAAGCTGACTCCACTCTTCTGATCAGCACCACAGCTTTACTTAAATAGAAAATACACACACACACAAAGGCAACATTAGTCTTGGAAACTAGACAGGAGGAAATGTCCAGAAGCTCCTTTTGGTATCATTTCATTTACTGGCAAGTTAGTTTCACAGACATACAACATGCTAGTGTGCACACACAGTAATGCTTCCAGCAGTACACAGCAATTTTGCTATTTATTGCAGTAGTGCCCACAATGTGCTAGGCGCTGTCAAAACTTTTAGGAAAGGCCAGTCCATGCCTGAAGAGCTTAGCAGCTAAGGAAAGCTAATTTGCATTATTTTCCCTTGAGCTCCCAGTGTTCCTACCTGGATATATATTGACAGCCTAGTTATAGTGAGTGGGGATGGAAGAATGCACTCTATTGAGTATTGTCCAGAGTAAATTAGAGGCTAAAACCAACAGGAAGATTCAAGTCTAGTTTCATGAGAGGAAGTGTCTCAGTGATCTGAGGAAAGAAAAGAATGGAAGAATCACAGAGAAGGGAATAGAGGGGTGGCTAACATGGGGATGAATGTAATGTGCTATAGGGGAACACCAAGAGGGAGAGGTAGAAGGGAGCGATTCCATGAGAATATTGAAAGCCATGAGTCTTTTGCCAAATGTTCAGTTACCCTGAAAGTGATAAAAGTTGGCGGTGATAGAGTTGTAACTTGTGCTTCTCTGTAATGGTGACGTTTCCAGCCCTAGCTCTTCTTGTCCTTACATGCATGTTCTCTTTCATACAGGGCTTTCTTTAGGCACCTTCTTTGATTACATTAACAATGTTCTGATCAAGGGTCAACCAAATTCTGAGTTGGCATCCCGACTTCTAGCCTAAATTCAGTGTTAGTGATGAGGTTCTATTTCCCTTGGCTGAATAGCAAGGCTCTGCCTACACTGGGGAAATGAGCTGCACTTAAAAAGACCATGGTTTGAATGCTTGTGTGGACAGGGATGACAGATTTTGAAGAGTGTTAGCTGGTCCTGGGCAGTTGGAGGTGGCTCCCAGGGTCTCATATTAGTCTAGACAGGGCCTAAGGGTTCTCAGGTCACTCTGCTTCTGGAGAAGACCTCAGAATTTTACTCCCCACTTGTGACCTGCCCATCTTTGCTGTGGTGATGAAGAGAAGCATATATGTTTTCAGTTTGAATATTGTGGGGAAGGGTGAAAAAGGAGCTGCTCTGTTTGACCTGAAACATTTCAACAGCCAGGAGTTTGGGAATAGATAGTTTCTCACAATCTAAAAAGAAGCTGTGGGTCACAATTCCTGCATTATTATTAAGGACTGTGGTTTAACATTTGGACCAGTACAGTAAATGTTTACCCATAAGGGTGAACTCACTGGCGGCTCTTGCCCAAAACAAAATCTAGGCCAATGTTTTTATAATTAAAAACTTTTCTAAGAGCAGCATTTTTGTTTCCAGCAGAAACAGGTGCTCAGAAGAATGAACTTGCTTGGCACTAGATGAAGAGGAGCATGTAATTGGCTGCCTTTATAATTCATAATAATTTTCAATGGGAGAGCGCTGTGTTGTGAATGCATTTTAAGTTCTATTGATGATTTCACCCTGCTATGTTTAGAAAAAAAACACACACACACACGGTCCAGGCCCAAAGACACTGCAGACCCTTCAAACCTCTCCCCCATCCATGCTAGCACTCTGTCAATTCCCACGTCCTGGCTGGTGAAGGAGAAGGACCCTGGTGGTTTAGGAATCCCACAAAGTCCTTCCACACTTACCCATGGCTGCCATCTAGGAATCGTTGCATTCCACATGACCACACTAGAAACCTTTCATATCTTGTTTTAGTTAGGGAGATTTGAGCACTGCAGAAAATCAGTCTGAGTCCCTACACTACTGGGAGATCCTGTGTCAAAGCACTGAGACTCAGTAGTGCAATGCATAGTTATCTGCTTCAGTGAACAGCAGCATTATTCCTGTGTTACAGATTAGAAAGTTGAGGTCAAGTAACTTACCCAAGGTGATGTGAGAAGACTGTGTCACAGACAGTAAGAAACCCCACAAATGTCCTGGCTCCCAGTCCTGTTTGTTAATGATTTGGACCTTGTTTCTGCTCTAGGCACTGCAGTGATTCAGCCAAAAAACTGAACTCTGCCTGTAAATTAGTCGATACCTGCAGATTCAAAGGTACTTGTATGGGAGTCCCAGACATAAGAGGGCTAACACAGGTGTATTTACTCGTACTTCCCGACTAGTATCCTGAACACAGACATCCCCCATTGACTGCAGTGGGTCAGGATTACAGTCTCTTGTTAGATCGATGTGATGTGCTCTGTTTGAACTTATAAGGCTAGACTGTGACCATGCACTGGAGTGGGAGAGAGTACGTATGCCCCTTTATCCCCACACTCGCTGCCCAGACACTGGGTCCAATGCACAGGAGGAAGTGGGGCTGCACTCTTGCTAGCTCCCCTTTCCAGAGACAATGGCAGGAAGGGGTAGACACAGGCAAAGATTTGTCTCTGCCCTCTCCAATCAGCTGAGCGAGTCCACAGGGGCAGGAATTTCCTGTTGGTAGAAGCCAAGAGTCAGTTGCTACCTCCTGGGAGCAAAGAAGAATTGAGACGGTAGCCAACCAGGCCATTGGTGGTTAGACATAGTGGCTGAAATGAGAGCTCAGCCTACCAGCGACAGCTGGGCCCAGGGTGGTCAAAGTTCAGGAACAAGCTGATGGACAGTACCACAGTGACAAGCCAAATGCCAGAGGGCAAGCCTGAGTCCCAGGCTAGAGGCAGAGCCAAGGACCAAAGTCAGCCAGAGGGGAGCAAAGCAAGAGCAGGCACAGGTAGCAGGCTGGAGCAGGGCTGGAACACAGCAGGAGCAAGGACAGGAAGCAGGGCAAGCACAGCTACAAGCACCAAACACCTTGAGCAGCAATTGAGCTGTTGTGGGAGCCAGGATTATATCAGGGCTGCTAAACCAGCAATCAATCAGGTGCTGTCACTACTCTGTCAGTTCCAAGGCAGGGCAGCTGGGTTCGTTGGTTGCCTAGCAGTGAAGTTAGTCAGGGAGCAGGGGAGTCTGGCCCCCACAGTGCTACTCCTAGGGTGGTGCCTCAAGTCATAATCTAGCCTATAGTCAACAGGGACAGGCCTTTAAATGCCCTGAAAGCTCTCATCTCTCTCCTTGTTTGAGTAGCACATACATGGGAGTGCTTTCAGGATGCATTTAGCAAGTTACATTGCCATCTATTGACAGCTCTAAGAATCTTTAAACATAATCCTCAGACTGCTCGCAAGTTAAACTAGACCGAGAATCTGCTGAGGCTTAAAGGTGGCTTGGAGCTACCTTTCCTTACTCCTCCCCTCCCCCAATTAGGATTGAACCCAGGAATGATTGATGAAGGTTTGGATATTGAACACCCCAATGTTCAGATCTGGCCCTGAGAGTTGGTTTAGAGCCACTACTATTCTTCTGTATGGTTCT